ACTTCTTCTTCTTCTTCTTCTTCTTTTTCCTCTTCTGGAGGCAGGGGGATTAAGGTGATTAGTGGGGTGAGAGGGGGGTTAGGCGGGGGAAGGGGGGATCGCGGGGGTTGAGGTGGGTGGTGGTGGGGTGAGAGGAGTGGGGAAGGGAGGGTGGTTGGGGGTCGGGTTGGGGGTTAGGAGGGTATGAGGGGTAGGGGTGTTTGGGGTAGGGGAGGGTTGGGGGGCAAGCGGGGTAGGAGGGTTTTAGGGTAATGGCAAAAGAGATATGAGTTTTGGGGGTGGGGGTAAGGAGGGTAAGGGGTTTGAGGGTAAGCGTGGTAAGGTGTGGTGTAAGGGGGTAAAGGGGTTGGGGTCTGGGGGTTTTGGGGGAAGGGGTGTAGGGGAGGGTGAGGGCAGAGGGGTAGGGTAGGGGTAAGGGGAGGTAAGGTGCAGGGTAGAGGTGGGGGTGGGGTAAAGAGAGGTAATGGGTGGGGTGGGGGAGGGAGAGGGGATTAGGGGGGAGGGGGTTGAAAGAGGTGGGTAGGCGGGGATTGGGGGGGTTGGAGGGTGGGGTGATCGGGGTGGGGGTAAGGGGGTAGGTAGGGGCGAGATAGGCGGGGGGAGGGGTAAGGGGGTAGGCGGGGAGGTTAAGGGGCCTGGGGTTTAAGGGGGTAGGCGGGTGGGGTAAGGGTGGGGGTATACCTAGAAACCTCGAAACCTCGCTTGGGTCACCATATAGGAAGATAACTTAAATCTCGGTAATTAAAATCTCTATCCCCGTTAAATGAATATAGTTAGGGTGTTAATTACCGTAGGCGATTAAAGGTCGGGAGACCATAATCATACATTTAACCATGTGATTTAGTGACTCAATAGTTAGTAATACCCATTAAAATGATATTGATTAAATGATTCCTTTAAATGTCACAACCCTGGATCTTTCCTTAATCATTATTTGAAACCTTGAAACTGAATCGTGTTAATTATATTTTATATTAAGTTAGAAATAGAAAATAAATAATTCTTGAAATCCGGAATTGCATTTGTGTTGAACTAGAAGTTAAAAGAATTGGTAGCTTCTAATTCGTAAGGTCTTGTGGGTACGATACCCGACTCTTAAAAAGAGTCACTTTATTACTTGTACGACCACGTGTATTTGCGTGTACGATTTGGATGCAACAAGTTTGTGGCGCTGCTACCGGGGACATAAGAATTAGGAAATATTTGATTTTTCTGATTTCTCATGTAAAACGCAAGTGTTGACAACTTAATATTAGCATTTCATTGCTGCAGGTTGATGTGAAATTCCAAACTGGACAACGATCAAGAATTGTTGTCGCCTCTCTTAGAACCTGAAAGATTCATATACATAAGGTGTAGACAAGCTGAATATCCAATTCCTCTGGTAATTGGTGAACTACCATCTCATGTTACAAAAATAGAGGAAAGAGAGAAAGAATCTGAGACAATATCTGTTGTTGAGATAAAAGTTAGAGATGTGTCAATCCCACGCCCCACCAATATGATGTCTTGCATTCAGAAACTTGAAGTTGTTGGGAGATCTGAACTGAAGCAGAGTATGAAGCAAATTTTGCACACAAATGGGCAATTCACTGGTCTTTCCCATGAGGATCCATAGTTCGTATTCAGAACTTCCTCGAGATCAGTAATACCTATACTCAACTAGAGTGAACAAAGATCATATGAGGCTCACATATTCCCCTTCTCTCTGCTTGGGGAAGCATAAAGATGGTTGAACTTAGAGCCTGCGAATTTAATCACCACCTGGGATGATCTAGCATAGAAGTTCCTCATTAGGTTTTTTCAATCTGGGAAAATATCTAAATTGAGGAGTGATATATTGAGTTTCAGGCAGACAGGTAGAGAGAATTTGTATCAAGCTTGGGATAGGTTTAAGTCGTAGTTGATAAGCTGCCTTCATCATCATCAATCTACTGAGGTGGTAGTCCATTCCTTCATTGAAGGTTTGAAGCCTAACACCAAGATTTTACTTGATGTAGCTGCAGGTGGACAAGCCTTATAGAAGATTTATGCAGAACTGTTCACCTTGCTGAATAGAATTTCTCAGGGAAACCCAGAGTCAAATGAAACCTATAGTATGAAAAACTAAGGGGATATTGGAAGTAGATGTTGTCACTGCATTGACTGCTCCGATTTTTGCCATGCAGAATATGATGAACACATATTTTAGCAACATGGCTTTGGGGCAGCAGTCAACTCAAGTCAATGCAGTTCAACAACCACCATCTTGGTGTGAGATCTTTGGAGAAAGTGATCACGGTGCAGAAGGAAACGGTGCAAACCCAGACTCGATAAACTTTGTGGGCAATGCGTAGAGAGGAGGAGGCCAACAAAACTATGGGAATTCATACAACCCAAGTTGGCAAAACCTCCCAAATTTCTCTTGTAGGATAATTAGAATCAGGGCCAAAGACAAAACCAATATAGGACGCAAGGCAATGCTTATGGGTACCAACCATATGCACAACGTGAGTATCCAAAGCAACATTTCAGAAACATGAATGTTGAGGATATGTTGAAGAAGATTTTGGCGGATCAAGCTTAATCACACGCATATGTGAGAAATAGTCAGTTGTCTACAAATATCTTGGAGAAACAATTTAGACCATTTTCTAGTGCACAAATTCACGACCACGAGGAGGGTTACCTGGGAACACTGACCCAAATCCTAAATAGGTTAATGTAGTGAGTACACACAATAGTTTGCGATTGAAAGAGTTAGATCCTAAGAAAAATAACACAAAAGTTGTAAACAAGAAGAGCAAGCCTAGTAAGGGTGAGGTCAAAGAGAATAAAGCAGTTGCACCAGTTTAAAAAGTGCAACCAATGGTGAGAACACCTCCTCCATTCCCTCAGAAGTTCAAGAAACAGAAAGAGGACGAATGTTTTGGTAAGTTTCTCTCTTTTGAAACAAGTTTACATCAACTCGCCTTTGGTAGATGTTTTGCACGGTATACCTAAGTATCAAAGTACGTGAAAGAGATTGTGGCGAACAAGAGAAGGTTGACAGTGTATGAGACTATGTCACTTACTAAAGAGTGCAACTCCAAAATCCATAACAAGTTGCCTATTAAATTGAAAGATCTGGGCAATTTCAATGTTCAGATCACTAAGAATACTATTCATGCTAGAGGACTGTGTGATCCGGGAGCTAGTATTAACTTATGCCATTTTCTTTTACAAAAACCTGGGATGGAAGTTGTAAGGCCCCAAAAATGAATTAGATGAAGCTAGAGCCTAACATGGTTATCAATATGGTCTAAGTTCCTAAAATGGTTTATAATGTGGTTTTGAGGTAGAGTCTAAGAGTTTAGGTGCATTGGAAGTCAAACGTCAAGGGACGACCAAGACGTTCGACGACTAAGTCACCTAGGTGCCTCATATGTGGTTACGTGCCTAATTGTGTGTTTCATGAGGTTATAAGGTCCTTAAATGATTTAGTATGGTGCTTATAGGTAGTGTGTCAAGTCTCATGAAGTTTGGAGGTCATATGTCCATGACGTTCGAAAGGTTTGCCTTGAAATGACCATGTGTGTCTATACATGTTTCGTCGAGTTTTACATGTTTGTTTTGGATGAAATTCATTTGGGAGGTCCTAAACTCGTATATGAGCATATTTGGTTTGGAAATGTTCGGGTACGACTCCATGTAGGACCTAAAAGAGGCTCTAAATAAGGACCCCAACTTGGAGCTCAACACTACCAGGCAGTAACAGTCGACTGCCCCAAACGACGGCCAGTCGACCAGGAGACGGCCCATCGATGGTTGGTGTCGATGGAGCCACTTGGCCTGCAGGTTTAGGAGTTTCATGAGAAACCAACAAGACCCCAGCGTGGGTGAGACCACTGACCGTTGATGCTGGCGTCGATGGTGATGTGTGTTTCCTGCCAGTTTCCTGTTAAGGCTTGAGGTTTTTGGGAAATTCACCCCAAGTCTTATAAAATATGAGGACATTTATTTTTAGTGTTTATGGGTATTTTAAGAGTATGAAAGTCATTAAACTCTCATTTAAACCCTAACACCCAAATCACAACACATTCCCTCCCAAAGTTTCTTCAAAAACCTCCATGAGAGTGCAAGGTGAAGATGGAGCTTGAAGATGGTTCTTCAATGAAGTTTATTCTTCAATTATCATTGGCATCTTTGAATAAGGTATGAGAGTTCTTCATCTAAGGCTTGCTATCACCTTAGAGCCAATTTCAAAGATGATTTTCAAAGATTTCAAAAAGATGAAAAAAGTCCTTCAAACACTAAGATATAATAAAATTGATTGTTTAATGGATGTTTTCAAATGAAATTCTCCATGAACCCTTGACCTTCACAAATCTCTTAATCTGACTAAAATATGGGTTATGTGATCATGCCTTGATATTAATTAATTCAAGTGTAGACTGTTATGGACTTTTGTTTCGTGTATAGATTATGATTAATTAGTGTATAGGATATTTCAATTTTATCAATTGAGTATTGTATATTCTTAAATCTTGAATATTAGGCCTATTGAATTGATATTGACTTAAGGCTTATGAATTCTAGTGTAGTTTTCTATGGGCTATTGATTGATGTAATAATTGTATTCAATTGATGTCTAATTGGTATTAGATTGATAAACCTATATTGAATTGACTTTGATTCACTGAGTATTATGGTTTATGTATTGAATTGATGTTCATGGCCATGGGTAAGGGCCTATGGTTTGGAATTGGATGATTTTAGCTTTGGAATCAAAGTGGTAAGATGGAGTGGGGTATGCTGCCCTAATTCCCTTTATTTCAGTAAATTAGACTTCAATTACATTGTGATTGGTATGTTCAACTTATGGTGGTGGTGCTATGTAAATAAATGTGGCCTTGTCGGCGTTACTTTATGCAATATGATGATAATGTCCTTGTCGGCACTATTTGAAGTATTATGATGATTTGTGTAGTTGGGTGAAGTAATGTGAAAATATGTGTTCTTTCTATGTGTGTTAGGAAATCATGTAGACCATGACTATGTGCTTCTATGTGTAGTCTTAGGGTTGATGCATGGTTGTTCCTACTTGACTATATGAGTCTATAATGGTTATATTGATGATGATATGGTAGTGTATAGAATAACTTAAAGATGATAATGGTTATTCCCAAGTACCATAAAGAAGGACATGTGATATGTGTTAAAGTGAAGTATATTGTGTCTTGTCTTGGTTGACTTGTGCCCCTTACTTGATGCATGTATGAAGGTGAATATGTGATGTCTTGAGTGCATGAGTGATATTTACCTTGAATGATGTTAAGAGGGTCTTTATGTGAAACGTTGAACCTAGTGGTAAGGTTATTAATGTTGAAGTTGTAAGCCGTAAAGCCGTAATGGTATCCTTCAAAGTAAAGAAATGATAGACTTAAGGTTAATTGACTGGAACGACATCATATTAATTTCTTGTCGTCATTGTAAGGTAGCCCTAGTGGACCTTCCTTTGGTAGGGTAAATGTAATTGGGTTATGAACTTGATATGGAACCCCTTTATATAAACTTTTTTAATGAAAATTACTCTATGAGAACAAAGGCTAGCATCGAGTGAGTATGGTAAGGGAAGTAGTTCTAGTTAAAGGATGAGACTAGAATACAAAGGACACCCTTCATATTCCTTAACCATGTGCCGACATGTGATGTGTCCAAGTTCTACCATTGGCAAGTAGAACACCCTCATTGGAGTATGTTAGAACTCAGGTTTCCATGCTTTGTTACCATGGTCTATGTCGGTTATTGCCTATTCTCATCATATGGGATACTTACTAGCATTAGAGAAATTCTATGAAGTTTAGGTGGTGGTATGGGATGCTATTTAGTCATTGCACAATAGGCTTTGAAGGTGTTAGTTGGAGTCCCTAGGAATTGTTCAAGACCATTAATTGAATGTCCTTATGTGATGACTGAGTCGTAAATGAACTAATGAATGTAATAACTTAAGTTCAGAAAGTATGTTAATTGAATAAGTACTTACCTAGAGTAGTTATGGGTTGTCTAGTTAAGGCATAAAGAGGGCATAAGAAGGGTCACTTCGTATCTTACCTAGATAAGTCTTAAGAATGACTCTAGTTAGGGAAGATGTTTATTATGTAGACATAATCCAAACTTAGGTAGTCTCAAAGATTATTTAGATAATCTTGAAGAGGTCAATCATGGACGTTATCTTCTTGATTTACTTAAGTTAGTCTTTTGATAACCTTTGTAAAGGAGAATGCCATATTATATGTATACTAATGTATTAAGTGAGAATGATTCTATCTTAGGTAGTCTATAGGATTTCTAAGTGTGTGTAAGGGATTTTATGTGCAGTCGCTTCACAACTCACTCAAGAGAGACTTAGAATCACCTTTGGTTCATATGTTTGATGTCTTGTAAATGTATGTTAATCTTATTATGGGTGGTATTTTGGATCATTTAGGTTTGCTTATAGAGGGTGTATGGGCGATCTCTCTTTGTATTACTTAAGTGAGTCTTAGAATAACTTTAAGTGAGGGTATTATATGCTAAAAGGTGTGCAAAGTGAAGCTAGGGAACTTCATTGTAAGAGTGAAGAAGTTCAATGTAACATTTCCTAAAAATGTGACTATTTGCTTAAATGATTTCTTATGTGTTTCTAAGTTGTTAAATGTTGTTCTTATGTTTATAGTATGATGTTTTAATCAAAATTCATGAAAAACATGTTATTTACTAAATGTCCTTTTTCATGGTTTTTGCATGGCTTCCATACTTAGTACATCTAATGTACTAACCCCTTCTTTTACCTTTTTGACTAAAGTGTAGGGAATTGGAAGTTTTGATATGCCATGGAGGATGGATAGGTTTCTAAGAGTTGAAGATGAAGTATTGGTGAGTCCTCATCGATTCGAGGATAATATCCACATGTTCTTTTACGTCCTAGT